ATAATTGTAACGTATCACAAAAACCATCGAATATATTTAAAACGTATGATTTAACAAACTCGCAGATAAAAAAATGAGTAGCTCTTTAGGAGAGTCAGTCGAAAAGGATGTTTCTTTAGAAGAGTCACCTGAAAAAGAAGTTTCTTTAGAAGAGTCACCTGAAAGAGAGGTTTCTTTAGAAGAGTCACCTGAAAGAGAGGTTTCTTTAGAAGAGCCATCTGAAAAAGAAGTTTCTTCAGAAGAGTCATCTGAAAACGATGTTCCTGTAAAAGAGTCACCTGAAAAAGATGCTTCTTTAAAAGAGGGATGGGAAGGATGGCTCAAAAAAGCCATTTCGGATGAATATATTAACGAATTTGACTACAATAAATTTACTGACCTGAAAGAAATTGGTAGAGGTGGATTTGGGACCGTGTACAAAAGCTTGTGGAAAGAATGCAAATTAACTGTTGCTCTTAAAGGTCTACATAGTAGCATAGAGGATGATGATGAGACTAATAAGGATTTCGTGAAGGAGGTACTATAAAATTATCCAATAATTTGAAATAAGTCTAATCTTAAACAAGTATTGTTAAATTCTTTGTTTGTACAGCTTCGGATTTTACAAAAAATTGGTTTTCACCCGAATATAATTCAGTTTTATGGTGTAACAAAACGTAAGTATGTTACCGTATTCTATTTGAATTTAAATTAATAATTTAAACACAACTAAAAATTTTAACAAATAGATCCGACAGAGAATTATAAAGTGATTTTACAATTTGCTGCGGGTGGTGATTTGCAAAGTTACTTGATAACAAACTTTTCCAAACTCGAATGGGCCGATAAGTTACGTATCGCTGAAGAAATAACATTAGGTCTTCTATTTTTGCATACTAATAATATAATTCACCTTGACCTTGTAAGTAAATGCATACATTATGTCATTATTCAAAGGTTGTTTTATGGTTCTACCAGTATTTACATTTTACTTTTATAATATTAGCATTCCAAAAATATTTTGGTTCATAAGGGAAAAATGATGATCTCCGACTTTGGCTTGTCTAAGCGGTTAGATAAGGCCTCGGGCTCAAAATCAGTGGTTCGGGGACAAACTGCATATATTGATCCGCAATGTTATTTGAATGAATCATATAAACGTAATAAGAAATCTGACGTTTATAGTTTAGGTTTCATCTTGTGGGAAATCATAAGTGGCCGACCTCCATTTCAGAAATTAAGATTTCAAGAACTAATCATTATTTACATATATGAAGGAAGAAGAGAGACTCCTGTAGAAGGTACCCCAAAAAATTACGTACAACTTTATGAGCGTTGTTGGAATGGGGATCCTGAAAATCGGCCAGAAACAAGTTCTATTCATGAGATATTGGAATGTTTTATTGGTGATGAAGAATTATCTGACATTCAAAAGCAAACAATACAAACCGTTGAAAAACCAATTTCAACGTTCTTATCACCAATAGATGCATCTTGATGAGCTCTACAACTTTCATTAAAAGCCCAAGACAGATCAGCTTAAAGTGCCAAATACGCATATTCTTCTTTCGACCCAATGACACATCTTTTTGCTCTAATTGACATTTTTCTTTTCACATTTATTTTCGCGGCTGATGCTGGGATTCGGACCTATTTTGATATGAAATTTTAGATGTTTTTGCAGGGTTTGGCTAGGATTTTAGACTAGAATTTATAATTAGAGTGTATATGCGGATTTTAGCAAGGTCAGCATCAGCCAATTTCAGTATCAACCGCAACATTTATTTCAAAAGAATGTATAGTCATCATG